CTTTTGTTAAAATTGTGAAATTATTCCATTGAATTTTATGGCAATTATCAAATGCATGTTGACAAATGTGTGATTTATGATATTCTCTGTTTTTTTATGTATGATTGGTGTTAGACAATTACATTATTATTATTACCTCAAGACCATTACACAAAAGACTCAAAGAATCTATTTGTATCTCTTCTACAAATCTATCTTATCTACAAATCAAATGTGTAAAGCAACGGTTACAATAACTCACAAAAACCCATCAAACTTCAATTGCTGAGCACGTATAGTTGGTAAATTCAATTATACCACCACAACAATTACCAGTAGGGGCAATCAGGCGATAATATTCCTAAAATCACAGATATACCAAAACCAAAAGTGACTTAAATACGTCCGTTCAAGTACTGCAATGTACCGAGTACCAATTAAGTATGGGGCCTGGTCACGATATCTTCGATCACGATTATCGACCCAATGTTTAGATTCTGTGGGCAATAATTACAGTTCCAACTCATCGAAAAGGGAGTTTCCTGTACGAGTTCAGTTTAAAGCCAGCTTAAGTTGCGCATGAACTAAAAATGTTCTACACACTTATTTCAAAGGATAACTCACCAACAGACCACGAAAAGTGTTCGACTTTAATAGACACCCAGTTTTAAAAACGTTTCGAATGTGCAAGCGGCAAACACCTTCAGAGGCTGTCGCTGGACAACCCTACTACAACCAGACTGACGGCATTTATCACTCGATCGACTACAGCTGGCTGAATGGGCATAAGCGGAAAAACGGATGAATTTTCAAAACGTATATTTCTAATCGAATTAATAGGCCACCGGGAACGCCAAAGCTAAATTACACACCAGCGTAAACTGATCTCGGTAAAACGACACCGTTTCAGGGCAAATAATAAATAGCCAACCGAAATTGGCATAGAAACTGAGGTCATCATCACACTTGACTGCTTTGTGTTAACACGTCATTTTAATGCGAAAATAAAGTTCAAAATGGACGATGTTTTTATGTGTAACTCGATATCCGACTGTACATACATGGTGGCTCATTCTCGAATATCGTTAGGAACATGTTTGAAAAGATCGCATTGATCATGTACATGCGGGCTTGGCTTGCTCCTTGTGTTAATCTCGGGATTAAGCAACAGGGATTTTTTGAACCACGCACGTCCTTCTCAGTCTCTAAACCTCAATAGAACATTAAAAATCCAAAAAAGATACAGAGGCAATAAACGACCTACCAAATCACCATCAGATGTAATCTTCGACAGAGAAATGCTGTCTAGGAAAGTGAATTTTTTGCAATTGCCCCTGACGAAATCTTGGAAGCAATTGCACATAAAACCCCAGCAAAAGTTCGTGATTTAATTCCATAATTAACTGTGGGAAACATTTAGCCAGTACACCTAACAAGGCCGCTAAGTTGTTCTTAAGTAGTCAAATGCAATTTCGCAAGCAACATGTGGCCGACCCAATGCCTCTCTGGATATCCGCGGAAAAGACAATCGATAAAATTCAGAGTAATGAACTTTCGAACCCTTTTCCCTGCCGTTGGATCTTATCTGGAACTTTGAGCATCCGAGTGGGAGAACAGGAGACAAACGCAACAATTGGCCGAAAACAAAAGGCCGGAAAACTGTTTGAAGCATTCCAGATATGTGCGGGAAAAATGAATAACTTTGGTTCTTTCATCACCGTTCCACAGTCGTTGCGAATCATTTTCCAAATGGTAAAGAGTACGAAGATCGATATTGTATACCACCGGTTTAACGACCTTCCCTAACGAAATGAGTCCCCTAGGATAATCGGTTCTTCCCTTGTTCTGATTTTCCTGTTTGTTTCAGCCCGAATTATAGGCACATTGGACCCATAAGCGATTTGTTCGTGTGACAACGTTCAAGCAAGCGTAATAAATGCAAAACGTACATACATCAGCAATTTGGAAATCCCAGGAATGATAAAGGACAATTAAAGTTAGGAAGTAGATGCACATGCAAGGAAAATGTGCAGTGCAATCTCCCAAAAATTATTTACGTTTTTGCATGCTAAATTGTTTGAAAAATGAATGAATGAAGCCGATGCATGGCAAGATAGAGAGACAGAGGTTGCAAAATATGTCAAGTTTAACTCTTTTCGATGATGATTTCTTTTAACAACGGTCATTTGAAACTTGATTTTGTATGTTTAAATAAAAACACCTTTTCAGTTAATTGACTGATGCCGATGCATCGCGAACTAAGCTGCAAAACACCTTAATTTCCAACTATTGACTAATAGAAATTTACTAAAATTTCATGACAAGGAATCCTAGGGAAATTGCAAAACTTTTCGTTTATTAACTGCGATTTCCTTTAACGATGATCATTTAAATTGTAGGCCTTATTTGCGAAAGCACTTTTTCAGTTAAAGTGATGTAAAAAGGTCAAGGAAACTAAAAAACATTTTTTTGAGCCAAAATGATTTAAAGCACTATTTTTGGGCAACTGTGGCATTGCATGTCATCTGTGTTAGGCAAATGTTTTGTCATCATGATTTTCATTTTCCCAACTCAGTTCCCTGAAAGCATACAATCACTTGACCCTAATAAACCGAAAATCCCCATGCTGCAACCCTTCATTTTAACGATGAACCCAATAAAAGCCTCGGCCTTTCCACATTTATGTTCGTTTGCGATTGATCCAGCAATTCTATTATTAGCGGGGCCAGTTTCGGATCGGAATGGATTTCGTACAAATGCCGCTTTGAACAGTCACTTTTTCTGTTGCACGCTGGTACTTCTTTCGCGAACACGCAAAATGCATCTAAATTGCGGAAAAGTCGGCAAACGAAAAAATTTACAATTAAAGCTGCCGGCTCCCTACTGTGCGTGTTCATTAAAAAAACACACATGAAAAAAGTCGGGAAAATCGAAGGACGACAGGCACGGATTTCAAAAAACAGTTATTGCAAATTCATCTCGATTTGCATGCAAAATAAACTGATGAAGGTAAGCAAAAATCCAGTCTTCGTTAATGTCTTGTTGCAGATTTGCATACATTTCGCATTCAGTATAACTCCCGATTAAGATACATGAGAAAACATTGAAAAATTAACAAATGGACTGAGTTAAGTGAAATCAATATTAATTAAAATAAATAAACAGCCGAAAAAAACATTGTATAACCAACATACATTGCACAGCTTTACAGTGATGCGAGTTCTATCCAGGCTTTCAAACCAAGTTCAAGGCTCCAGTTTCGAAACGTTAATTAATTCGAAGCAGGATTTTTTATTTAAATAAATGCAGAGGTCCAGTCCTGTTCGATGTTAAAAGTGCGGGCGGCAACATGCAGTGCGTAATGCTTTTTTCCTGTAGTTCGTTGGACTAAATGCAACGAAACCCACCACGAATGCATTTCAAAGTGCACTTAAATATGAAAGCCCCACCGGCTGCACAGCTCGAAGCACAAATGCGTGTACATGTGCGTAATTAAAAAAATATGGGTTAAAAATGTAAAGCATTGCGGAGTTTTCAAACGGCAAAGGGAATAATTAATAATTTCCTACTGGCAAAAGGCCTGTATGTTCATGAAAGAAACACAGGGTGAACGCGAGTGATCCTTTATATAATTGCCCTTTTCATTTATATAGGTTATTAAGCAAATTGCCGGTTTTTGCAAATATGTATTTTTTAATAATGCATTCCGTTGCTTAGGCCGAAACCATACCAGTAGTAATTATTGGATAAAATTCAACACCTGCATGTGAGATGTATCGGATATACCCATTGTGTTCTAATTGGTTATCCCCCAGCCAGATGTTCAACTGCGAATGGTCGCCCAAACATATGCCAGAAATTGTTGGCTTTAAGCTGTTGATGTTGCTGTTTAATATCTTCATAGTTCCCGCCTTATCGTGTCGCCCCAATTAACCAAAATCTCTGTCCCATTTCTTAACAACATCTAATGATCACTTTGAGGCATTTTAATTCGTCCACGAACAGATCTAGGCCTGTCAACTTGCAGCTGTTGCGAACTCTTTGTTCGTCGGCCGATTTGATTTATTTAGCTGGTTAAATCAAGCTGGGAAATGCACGCAACGCACCAATTGCAGCCCATACTAATTCCGCATTTTCGTTTCAGGGTTGGAACGCATCGCTGAGGAGTTGATGGGTCGAAGGAAATGGAAAATCTACCAAGAATCCATGTCCAGAAGTTATTTGCAACCATTGAACAACAATATAAAACGTACAAACAACTCATTGTCCGACGAGGACTGTTTTCAACGATCGCAGAAGGAGAACAGCCAGCCAATAGGCAGCCCAAAAAGGTAACCGCAAACAGTTTTGATGGAAACGGTCGGAAATAACGGAAATTCGGTTATTGTTCAAGTATTCGGAAACAGCCGCCGGTGAAGGACATCGAGAACGGAGAGGACGCGAAAGAAGGTGTCGAGGAGGCGGCAGCGTCGCCAGAAGCCTTTGGCGGCGACGCCAACGACGACCAGAACGGCGCCGAAGAGGCGCACCTCGACTGGACGCCGCAGAACAAGTGCGTCTTCTGCGCAGACGGAGACGACAAGCTGGATAGTGAACACGCAGTCCACCACGGGGAGCTGGTGAGTTCAGCTTCTTTCAGAAGAAAGAATCAATATGAAACATCAAATTCTCTAACTGCAGCACCCTGCGTGGGTTTTGGTCTTGCTTTTTTTGCAAGGTCAAGGCCAGTTTCGTTCATCACCAAAAAGGTTTCACCCGATATGCTAGTGCAAATAATTAAAATAAAAAAAATTAATAACAGGCGCGGTGCAGGTGGAAAATGTTGCTGAGGTTCTAAGTTGAAGAAAAAATAAAATGTATGCACGAAAACACTGGAAATGGGGAAATGGGGATGCAGTTTAGGGGTTGTTAATGGTTTTTTGCTATTTGCAAAAGTTGTTGTTTCTTGTTCTTGTAACACTTTTTGACATGACCTCAAATTAAAGGGGTCAGAATGGCAAAAAAAAAATTTTTCGGTATTTAATTTTTTCTCGTCCACAAATGAATCAATTTACTCACATGAAAATCTGCAAAAATATGTCTTTTTCGGTGTTGACTAAGCATGATTTTTTTGTAGTCCAGAATACGACTAGTTTTTGAGTTATGTACATTTTTCGAAAAATACCCTTTTTTTCCACGAATATTGTCGCATTGCGTTAATATGGTAAGCAAAGATTTTCTGGTATTTATTTAACGTTTTCAACGTGGTTTGTGCTACTTGCTAACATTCTTTCAACTGTAATAATCCTGCATGTAGCCAACTTATGCTATGTAAGTATGATCCACTATTCATCGAAATAATGAAGATAATAAAAAATCAGTGGAAATATCGAACAAATCATGATTCAGAGATACTTTTCAAGCTTTCGCAATTTTCAGCGGTATAGCAATAAATAAACCACCAAGTCACTTAGACCACTCTAAACTTTAGAGCAACTAAACTCACTAATAGACTTTCCAAATA